TTAAAAAAAAAAGGAAAATGAAAAGAAATCATCTTTTAAGGAAATAGTTTTTCTCATTCATCTGTTCTTCAAACAAGGCTTTTATCTGAAATTTAACATTTAACAATAAGAAACAAAGTCTTAGGAGGGGAAAAGTATCAAGTTTATTCATAGAGGTAGGTAGAGAAGATTTTTAGGCTATGCTAATTAGATACTGAAGGAGGAAGTCCAAGGTGCATTGAAGGCATTGGCAAAGAACAAGGCTCCATGAATTGATGGAATAAAAATTGAAATTGTTCAATAAAGTGAGGTTGCACAGGAGGCACTCACTCATATATGCCAAGAAATTTGGAAGACAACTATCTGGCCGCCTTTTTGGAAGAGATCCTTATTTGTGTCCATTTCAAAGAGAGGTGACTCAACAGAGTGCAGAAATCATCAGACAATCTCTTTGATATCCCATGCGAGTAACGTTTTACTAAAAGTAATACAGAAATGGCTGCAAGCATACATTGACAGAGAACTTCCAGAGGTTCAAGCCAGATTCAGAAGAGGCCGTGGAATGAGGGATATCATTCCTGATGTCAGATGGATCTTGGCTGAAAGCGTAGAACACCAGAAAGATGTTTACCTGTACTTTATTGACTAGACAAAGGCTTTTGATTGTGTGGATCATGACAAGCTATGGACAACATTGTGAATTATGAGTATTCTGGAACATTTAATTGTGCTCATGAGGAATCTGTACATGGACCGAGGTGCAGTTGTTTGAACAGGACATGGGAACACTGAATGGTTTAAAATTAAGAAAGGTGTGTGACAGAGTTGTATTCTTTCACCATACTTATTGAACATGTATGCTGAGCAACTACTCTGAGAAGCTGGGTTCTTTGAAGAAAAACGTGGCATCAGGATTGGAGGAAGACTCATTAACAACTTGCAATATGCAGATGATACAACCTTGCTTGATGAAAGTAAAGAGGACTTAAAATATTTGATCAAAGATCATAGCCTGAAGTATGGATTGCACCTCAATGTCAAGAAAACAAAAATCCTCACCACTGGACCAACAAACAACATTCTTATGAATGAAGAAAAGATTGAAGTTGTCAAGGGCTTCTGTCTTCTTGGATCAAACACAAACACTCATGGAAGTAGCAGTCAGGAAATCAAATGACGTATTGCATTGGGCAAATCTGCTGCGCAAGTGCTTTTTAAAGTGTTGAAGAGCAAAGATGTCAGCTTGAGGACTCAGGTATGCCTGACTCAAGCCATGGGATTTTCAATAACTTCATATGCATGTGAAAGCGGGACAGTGAATAAGGAAGACTGTAGAAGAATTGATGCATTTAAGTTATGGTGTTGGAGGAGAATATTGAAAGTGCCATAGGCTGCCAAAAGAACCAACAGATCTGTGTTAGAAGAAGTGCAGCCAGAGTGCTCCTTGGAGGCCAGAATGGCCAAACTTGGTTTCTCATACTTTAGAGATATTGTCAGGAGGGACCAGTCGCTGGAGAAGGATATCATGTTTGGTAAGGTGGAGGGTCAGAGAAAAAGAGGAAGACCCCCGGCGAGATGGATTGGCCTCATAGCAGTATCAATGGGTTCAAGCGTGGCAACAATAGTGAGGTTGGCCCAGGATCGGGCAGTGTTTCATTCTGTTGTGCATAGGGTCGCTATGCATTGGTACTGACTCGATGGCACCTAACAACAATGACAACATGCTAATTGGATGCATACAGAGCAGTTCTTCAAGATAGTACCCATCACAAAGGCCTTTGGTAGGGGCAGATAAAACTTATTTTCGGATGTCAAACATTTGTGATTCTTCAGGATTCTGGTTTATACCGCTCCCAGGGGCTGGTATTCTCTTCTGTGCTATTCGAAGGTTATCTTTTAAAGTTATGCCTAGGGTACTGGGTAAGCCAGTCTGGCTTGTAAAGCATATTACAAGGAAATGTTGTTGTTGTTAAGTGCTGTCAAGTCACCTCTGACTAAGAGGGACCCTGGCAGGGTTTCCAAGAAGTAGCTGGTGGGTTTGAACCACAGACCTTATGGTTCACAGTCCAGTGCTTATCCTACAGCATCTGGTGTGGCTTTGTAGGATAAGCACACAAGGAAGTAGAATATGGAATTTTGATGGATAGCCTTTGAAAAATTTTTTTAATGTTTTCTTGTGAATTATGTGATAGTTTACATGGGAGAGCATTAGCTTTACATTTATCCGATTATATATTGTTTCATTGCCATGGTTACAGTCCCCTCCATGCATCATCAACCAACCAAAGGATATATCCTGCAAGCCTGCCCCTCGGTTGTCAGCACACAGCCCATCTCCCTCTCTGGGTCTAGAGTCCCCAGCCACTCCATCTCTCCACATTGTTGTCTCTGCCTCCATCTCTGGCATCACTCTTTTCTCTGGGTAAGGTCCCACACTCTGCTCTTCTCTGTTGATGGTCCCAGGGACCTCCACTCCTGGACTACAAAGTCAACCACTCCCCTTCTTTTGTTACAGAACGTCTACCTTTACATTTCCAATACTCACAGTCAGTCTTGATAGCAATTGTTCAATATTGTATATTGAGTCCTATCCTCATCTCCTTTCATCAGCCCCATCCAGACAGATTGGATACTACTCAGTGGAGATGCTACCTTCCTCCATGCTCTCTGGATCTAGGCTCCCTCATGAAAGCTTGTAAGCCAGTCACTTCTAGCCTTTATAGCTCCCCACCCCCCATTTTGGGTAGCCAATGTCCATGTTGCCCATCCATGTCTACCCTGTGTACCGAGGGGGTGGGAATGATCCTCACTGTAAAGATTTGTTCCCTCTTTTGAGCTACTGCATCCATAGGTGTAGGTCAATTTCATCAAATTGTATGAAATTGCTCTTTTTTTCCTCTTATTTCTTCTTCTAGTTGAGTTCTGGATGGATATTCTTTCTTAATGACATGTTCCAGCATGTGGCTGCTCAGTTATGTGTCCTGAGCATGTGCTACACATTTTCACAAATGCTCAAGCAAGCAAGCTTAATTCCTTAAGGTTTCAGTCACAATACTTCAGTTAATAAGTGGCTCATTTTTAATACTGATTTTTGGACTGCTTTTTCCTCCTGCCTCAAAATGAAGAAAATAAAAAGTACCTAGTGGGATACGTTGAAGTATGTTTTGCAATGTGCCATTCAAATTTTAGGGGCTCTGATGGTACTGTGGGTTTTGTTGGGCTACTAACCAAAAGCCTCAAGTTTAAAACCACCAGCTGCCCAAAGGTGAGAAATGAGATTCTCTGCTTCCCTTAAAAATTTACAGTCTTGGAAACGCTTAACGAGCATTTCTGCTCTGTCCTATAAGAGTCAGTATGAGTTGGAATTGGCTTGATGACAGTAGGTTTCTTTTTGTTAAAAATTTAACTGTAATTTCAATATAGTTATCAGTTTAGATGATTTTCAGTGCAAGTGCAGGGGTGGGGATGAGGAAGCCTGGCAGCATAGAGGGGAGAGAGATTCAGAGATAAGGCCTTCCTTATACCTCCCCTCAGTGCTGAGTCTGAGCTGAGCCTCTGCCATCTCTTGGCTCTGTGACAAGGTGTGTGCGGTCATTGTATTTTCACAGTGCATTCTGGATTTTATCTACATCACAATCACCTGACATAATAGTTCAAAGTGCAGATTTTGCCTTAATGCAGATGCCTGTCCCTCCACCCCCATACCAGATTTACACAATTTAAGTGATTCTGCTGCCCACTCAGTGTGAGAACTATAGCATTAAACTCTTTGTGGCTCAAGTTCCTCATCCCTAAAAGATCCTATTTGATTAGCTATTATTAGGTCCTCCAGCATAGCACTGAAATGAAAATTTTAAATAACTTTTTCATGGTCTAACAAGTGCCATGCATTAATCTTCAACCAAGAAATCCACTTATTTATTTTTTATTTTAAAATATGGGTACATGTTAAAGAGTAATCAATGCATACAAATAAGTTTTATTTTCTGTAATAATTTCCTGCCATTTAGAAATGGAAACATTCACTGTCTTGCTCTGGTCAAACATTCATCAGCTGATGAATTAATTTGAGACACAGGCACAAGATGTAACTAACAGAATTGGAGAGCATGCAGAAAAGACTGTCTCGTGGTCAGGTCTGTTGGAAAGAAACCTCAGACAGTCATGGAACAGTATGAGTTTATTCAAGACTGACAGCAGCACGTAGGGAACTGCTGACAGCAGATCAGGGAATGAGTGAAGGCAGCCGAAGGAAATTGAATCCCAGTAAATGCTTTGCTTCAGACTGTAGAATCGTTCTTTTCTCATTATGATCACCAGATGATAGTTAGGTCTTCCCTGGCGCATGCTGAGCTGGACCCTGCACTTACGGATGATCAGTTTTCCTGAGGCAAATTCCTTTGCTACTTAGAAGCAAGGGACAGTTTCCAGAAGACTGCAACTTCCTCCCTCCTCAACAAAGCCATTTTCCATGTATGGTAACCATATGTTCTGGATATTTTAGCCTACTCCCTTGTCAATGAGTAAGTAAGGACATACATTCTGTTAAAATAAAAGCAAAGAGATTTAATGCAGGTTCAAAATAAATTGAAATGGGGACATTTCTGATCTCATAAAGTGAAATCAAATGCTTAAAAATGGTAGAATAACAGAGGCATATTTATGAAGTAAAATCAAATTCTGATATGAAGTTGTAACATCAGGAAAGCTGGAGGTGGGACAACTCACAGCTGGGATTCTCCAGTGAATGTGGGCTATTTGAATTGGTTGGTTTAGCTCAGTGACCAAAGGGTAGAGGAGATTAGGGGAGGTTGATAGGATGGTCATAAGATAATTATCTTAAGACATTTATTGAGGGAATTTCTGATAAAGATCTTGAGTTAATGTCCCTTAGTGACATTCTTTCCATCTTTTGTTTAACCACAGAGAACATTCATTTGCTATGTACTTAAGTCTGAGTTTGACAGTTAGTAGCAAGTGAAATAAGCAAAAGCTAGTAGTTACGAATCGGGCTGTGAACCGCAACGTCAGCAGTTCGAAACTACCAGCTGTTCCGCGGGAGATAGATGAGGCTTTCTGCTCCCGTAAAGATTTACATAGCCTTGGAAACCCTGTACAGGGTCACTATGAGTCAGAACTGACTCCACGGCACATAACAACAACAACAACCACAAGGTTAACAGTTCAAACCTACTAACCACTGGTGGGTTTAAGCTGCCCACCTTGTGGTTAGTAGTTTAGCACGTATCCTACAGATCCACACCATATATACGTTATTGATTAATGCCATCAAGCTAGTTCTGACATATAGTGACCCTCTGTAAGATTTCCGAAGGGTGGCTGGTGGATTTGAACTGCTGACCTTGCAGTTTAAACCGATCTTGTGGTCCAGTGCTTATTCCACAGTGGTACACCAGGACTCCACATGGCACTGTAGAATAAGCACTGGACTGCTGAAGGAAAGGTCAGCAGTTAAAACACACTAGGTGCTCTTTAGAAACCCTTGCCAGGGTCACTATGAGTTAGAACTGACTTGATGTCACTTAACAACAGCATATACATATATGTATGTTTCACAGAAACACACTTGTTTTTGTCTTGGATTCGGCAATGGACCCATGTGGATCTTGGTCTTATAGATCTCTGTTGAGTTTATACTTGGCTGTCCCTGTGCACCCTTGGGTCCTAACACTTTGTTGATGCCATGCTATATGTTTGCAGCAAAGATAAATACTCATGTACAAATATCCTCTTTCAAACCATTTTGTATTTGTGGGTGTATTTCCATTCTTCATCCCATACTTGTTGAGCCTGTGTATCTCTCTATGTATCTATCTATCTGTAGAACACTGTTGTTCCAAGATTGTGTTGTTGTTGTTAAGTGCCATTAAATCATTTCAAACTCATAGTGACTCTGTATAGATTCCCAAGGAGCAGCTGGTGAGCTTGAACCACCAACCTTGCAGTTCAAACTGACATTACAGTCCATCACATTAACCTGCAGCATATAGAACACTATTTACTGCTATCTCCTTTAGCACTTGCATACCTCCCTGTGTCTTCACCTGTATTCATTATTCTTCTGCCAACCTCCCTCTTCTTGTGTTTTGCCCTCCCTGTCACCTGAGCTAATATGTGCCTACCCTTTAGCCAGTGAATTAGTCTCCCTTCCCTTCTCCTGTTGACCATCAAAGAATGTTTCTTTTTAGAATTTTTACAATAGTGGTCTCATGCAATATTTGTCATTTTTTGATTGACTAATTTCATTCAGCATAATTTTCTCCAGGTTCATATACGTTATGAAGTGCTTCACAGATTCATTGTTATTCTTCAGTGCTGCATAGTGTTCCATTGTGTGTGTGTACCTAAGTTTGTTTATCCATTCTTCTATTGATGAGAATTTAGACTGTCTCCATCTGCTGTGATGAACATTGGTGTGCATGTATTACTCATGTCTTGACTCTTATTTGTTGTGGCTATATACCAAGTGGAGGGATGGCTACATCATATGGTGTTTAAATTTCCAACTTTTTGAGGAAGTGCCATAGTGTTTTGCATAGTGGTTGAACCATTTTATAGTACCATCTGCAATGTAGGAGGGTCCCAATCATTCCACAGCCCTGCCAGCATTTGTTGTTTTCTGATTATTATTATTTTAACTTTGGCTATTAATGTTAGAGTGAGATGAAATCTCATTGTGTTTTGATTTATTTCTCTCTAATGTCTAAATAATACAAGAAGCTGGGTTCTATGAAAAGAATGTGGTGTCAGGATTGGAGGAAGACTCATTAACAACCTGCAATATGCAGATGATACAACTTTGCTTGCTGAAAGTGAAGAGGACTTGAAACATTTACTGATGAAGATCAAGGAGCACAGTCTTCGGTATGGGTTGCATCTCAATGTCAGGAAAACAAAAATCATCACCACTGGACCAATAAACAACATTCTTATCAGTGGAGAAAAGACTGAAGTTGTCAAGGACTTCATTCTTCTTGGATCAACTATCAACACTCGCAGAAGCAGCAGTCAAGAGATCAGACGATGTATTGCATTGGGCAAATCTGCTGCACAGGAACTTTTTAAAGTGTTGAAGAGCAGAGAGGTCTGCTTGAGGACTAAGGTGCACCTGACCCAAGCCATGGTAATTTCAGTAACCTCATATGGATGTGAAAGCTGGACAGTGAATAAGGAGGATCGTAGAAGAATTGATGCCTTTAAGTTGTGGTGTTGGAGGAGAATACTAAAAGTGCCATGGACTGCCAAAAGAACCAATAGATCTGTTTTGGAAGAAGTGCAGCCAGAGTGCTCCTTGGAGACCAGGATGGCTAAGCTTCGTCTCTCATACTTTGGACATATTGTCAGGAGGGAACAGTCGCTGGAGAAAGATGTCATGCTGGGTAAGATGGAGGGTCAGAGAAAAAAAGGAAGACCCCCAATGAGATGGATCAGCCAGGTGGCATCATTGATGGCGTCAAGTGTGGCAGTGGTAGGAAGGTTGCCCCAGGATCGGACATTGTTTCATTCTGCTGTGCATGGGGTCGCTATGAGTTGGTTCCGACTCGATGGCACCTGACAACAACAACAACAACAACAATGTCTAATGGTGTGGGCTACAGGAGAATGCTCTGAACTGCAAGGTCGATTTGAGCTGAAAGGTTGGCAGTTCAAACTCAGTAGCTGCTCCTTGAAAACCCTATATAGGGTTGCTATTAGTTGCGACTGATTCTACGGAACTTAACAACAATGGCTAATGGGCAACTTGAGAAGACAAAGTTAATTTTTATAATGAAATGTGCAAAGACCTAGAGTTAGAAAACCAAAAGGGAAGAACGTGTTCAGCATTTCTCAAACTAAGGAAACAAAAAAGAATTCAAGCCTCGACTTGAAATATTGAAAGATTCTATGGGCTAAATATTGAATGATGCACAAAACACCAAAAGAAGATGGAAGGAATACACAGAGTCACTGTATCAAAAAGAAATGATCAATGATCAACCATTTCAAGAGGTAGCATATGATCAAGAGTCAATGAAGG